GCGGCTGGGGCGAGCCTCTCCCCAAAAGCGTCAGAAAGCGGTGGCGGCTTTTGTGAGGGAAAGCGGCCTGACGGGCCCTCGGAGCAGCTCCGCATAGGTCGGGCTTTCAGGCTTCCAGCGGCGCTGAGGTGGGTAGGAGGAGGCCCGCCGAGCGTGGGGGTTGTGCCCGGGGCTGCGCTTTGTGTCCGTCCTCTGGGAGGTTTCAGCTCCTTGACTTTATTTCTAAATGTGCTCGTGTCTAGACCGTTTGGGGCTTTTTTTGGTTTGGGTTTTGTTTTGGTGGTGGTTTTGTTTGTTTTTTTTTTCCTTTCTGGAAATAACGCGTAAAAAGCTCCTGCTGAATAATTGTTTTAAAAAGCCCCGCGGCCGTGAAGGTAGAATATACAGTGATTTCATGTTTGTTCGTGGGTTTTTAGGGCACTGTGCATGCCCTTAGAAGCTGTCTTATTTGAAAATGCTGTATATTTATTTGTTTACTTATACAAAATGATATGTTCATTTATTAAGTAGAATAATAAAAACATACTATACTATTGAAGCTTCTTTTTATTTTGTTTTTCTAATGGGAAGAGGGAACTATCTTTTTTTGTTTAAAACAGTAGTTATGGATAAAATAAAAGCTGATGATCACCTGCATATGTAGGTTTCATTTGAGTCCTTACAGGTACTTTGAAGGAAGTAAAAATATTTTTCTTTCTCTTTAGGGTGTCTGCAAACAAAAGTGAACTGACACCTCAGTTATTTCATCCCAAACAAGATGAAAATTCCCTCTTTGCTGCTGAGATTCCCTCATTGTTATTTCTCTAGAAGAACTTACTTCACAAACTTAGACTTTGCTTCCAGAGCAGACTTCCTGCGTGTTGAATCTCTCACGCCAGCGCACCTCAATCATATAAAATGGATGTGGTCATCAAATGTTTTGAGGAGACAGCTGTGCCAACAAGTGGCCCCTGACCAGCAAATAGAGGGACTTTCTGACAGAGAACAAAGACTTGTAGACAGACTTTACAATGGACTAATCCAGGGTCATAGAGCCTGTTTAGCAGAAGCCATTACACTTGTAGAATCAACTCAGAGTAGGAAGAAGAAAATAGCACAGTTTCTCCTTCAGAAGGTATTATCCTACCACAGGAAACAAGAAAAGTTAAATCAAGGAAAACCACTTGCCTTTAGAGTGGGTTAGTCCTTTTATGTCTGTCCAGTAGTTGCTTTGATGGAATTACAGTCCTCACCTTTCATTATCGCTATTGTTCTTTAAGCATCATGGTCTGTAGTCTTGGTTCATTGATTTCTTGTGGTTTGTAACTAATCTAGTCTGCTTCTTTTGTCCAGTAGAACTTCAGCTTGAGGTGGAAAATGCGTTTGCAAAAGCTCTAGAAGTTATTGTTGCTCCTCAGGGGGGTGTTATTTGGGTCTTTTTAATGAATAGTTTAAGTGGAAATGTTAGGTAGTTTGCAGATTGATTGATGCAGCTGCTGTCTTAAGCAGACCTGATCTTTTCCTGAAGAAGGTCTTTTCTTGAATACTTCCTGAATCTCATCTTCAGTCCACAAAAGGAAAACCACGTGCATTCCTTTTTTATGGCCTTACTTTAAAGCAGCCTACTTTTCCTCTGAGGAGACTTGAATCTGGTTCTCCTAGAAACTATTTTTCCCTTGGAAAGAAATGGCCTACTAAAGCATCTCATGTCCAGCTGTCATCTCTCATACAAACATAGAGCAAAAACTTGGGCATGGGAGTAAGAAATGTTTGGTGCTAATCTTGTGTGCCTTGATTTGGAAGTAAATTGCCTAATTTTTTTAAAATAACAGCTCTTCAAGGTAAGGGCTTTTGCTTTTATAGTGTTTACTTTATAAATAGTAAATATGAAAAGTCCAGATTGAGAATAGGACATTTTTAAAGCTCTGAAGAATAAGTCAGTATAAATAAATTTATTTGGATGGGAGGAAATGGGGCTGAATAAACCCAACGTTTTCTTGGTGTGGGTGGTGAAGCGAGTGCTGCTGTGTTGGGTAAACCAAGGTTAAGTATTTCAAGTCAATTAGATCTGCTTAGTTGCATTTATCAGCTGTGGCATAGCTTTCCTTTGACTTTGTTGTGATCTTGTGTTAAAGTGTTATTGACTTAGATGTTGATGGTGTTCACACAATGTATTATTTATTTGATTAACAGAATGGGTTTTTTTTCTTCCTAATATGCTTATTTAGGGTTGTCTGGTCCTCCCGGTGCTGGGAAATCAACTTTCATAGAATGCTTTGGGAAAATGCTTACAGAAAGAAAATACAAAGTGTCTGTGTTGGCTGTAGACCCGTCCTCTAGTACAAGTGGTGGTGAGTGTGAATTGAAGTTTGAGTCAGGTTTCTAATACCTTTTCAACTGTAGGAGTATCTCTTTGGGCCAAATGGAGGAAAATTTGGGGCCTATAAAAGTAAAATATTAAAAATAAATGTTGTCATAAGTTTTCATTTTTTCCTTATGTGATAGGAAATTGGGAAATACATATCAGTGTCTTAATTTTGGCAGATTTCCTCCTTTCCAGTGTTCTGATTTTGCCATACAATTTTTTGTCTGAAACTTTAGCTAGCTGTGGTTTTCTCTCTCTAGTTTTAGTTGTTTGTTTATTTTCCCATGATTGAAGGAGTAGAAGGCCATTCATTTCTGCTTAAATTTCAACGGTGGTAATGGTGATCACTGGGATGGAAGCATATGCTAATTTAAAACTATTTAGAAGATACTGCAATCCAAAAATATTGATCAGGTTGGATTTTAGAACATGTGTTAGTTCTTCTCAGTAGGAATTTTTGGACTTGGCTATACTGGTTTCAGGGTCTCCTGATGCAGTATTATTGTCTTGAGTTGTAGCATGATTTTTTTTTTTTCCCTCTAAATTTGAATTTCTTCAAAGTTGTGTGGCTGTTTTCTGTCACTCTCACATCAAAATTGTAGGGGAATTAATGATTAATGGTATCTCTGACATAAATAATAGAACCTTGATTTTGATCTTTTTTCAAATGGGCAGCTGCCAGGGAACATCATTCCTTCTTCTGGCTTCCACACTGCTAGAGAAGATGCTGCAACATGTAACTACTTAAAAAGAAAAAAAAAAAAAAAAAAAAGTGCTAAGACAGACTATATTCTTGAATGCGTATGTTCAAGATGCATCAACAGAATAGCAAAGTATGACAGCAAGACTGCACCAAGTAAAAGAATTGAGCATCTCTTCTCTTTCGGAATGCGCATCACGCGTGTAGATCTCACTGAATCCCATTTAAAGTGTAGAAGTAAGGCAGGGATGTGTGTCAGCTTTCTTAAAAACAAACCAGAAAATCCACCATCAAAACATACCAGAAGCATAAGCCAGAGATTTGTCCCTTTGGGACAGAAACATCAAAGAGTTAATTGTGTGGCCTGCTGTATATTGGAATTGTAGAATTCGTTCTGACCTAGAACAAATTTTTCATATTTCTTAGCAATAAGGTCTGCTTATCAGGCCTTTCCAGCTTTGGGCAGGCAGAAGAACTAGGCAGTAACTTCCTAGTCCTCAGCAAAGTCTGGAGCAACTATTATCAGGATATTCTTATTTGACTTACTTTGTCCAAGAGATCTGTCTTTTTTCACTTGTTTATTGGGGAGGGGAGGAAGCTTGGCTGTTTAGCCCTTTTGAAACGATTTAACATTAAATGTTTAAGGTTCTCTGCTGGGTGATAAAACACGGATGACTGAGTTGTCAAGAGACATGAACGCGTACATCAGACCGTCTCCAACCAGAGGGACACTGGGAGGTGTAACAAGGACCACAAATGAAGCCATTCTGCTGTGTGAAGGAGGCGGCTACAATGTTGTTCTTGTGGAAACAGTAGGTATGTGCTTAGAGTTTTCTTTTAATTACCCTCTCCTGATACCTAAATAAGGTGTCTTACTAGCTGTGTACTTTCATCCTTGATTTTGCTTGTGCTTTCATACATGGTCACTGGTTGAAAATGAATGCCCATTCTGCCCATTTTCTACGTATGGTTTGTGAGAACAGTGTTTGGGGAAAACTGTTGTGTTTCCTGTTGTCCTTGTTTGTTGTTGGGATTTGTTTGTGGTGCAGTACTGGGATCTGTCATAATCGCCATCATCAATGTAACTGAAAGTTTGCGATAAATGGTGAACTCTGGATTTAATATTTTAGGTGTGGGACAGTCAGAATTTGCTGTGGCTGATATGGTTGATATGTTTATACTACTGCTACCACCTGCAGGTGGAGATGAATTACAGGTATTTTTCGGTTTCTCTTACTAAGCATTAGCCAGGACTAGAAAAAGAAACTTAAATCAAGGATGTAGTGTCTGTGCAGAAAGCCCATATGGATAGTGTTTTTTAAATGATACTGCTACTATTGAAGTCTCTTTCAGTGCTATCAATTTATTGCACAGTTAAGATCTGATATTTCCCACCCCCTGATTTTGGAAGTATGAGGGTGTAAAATTTTGATACTCTGACTTACTTTGGACTATTTACTAGTTATGTATGATTTGGGGGAGTGGCTTTGTATTATAGGAAAACAGAAATCAATATAAATAGGTTTGCAAACTTGGACATGTTTTGATTAAACTGAAGTCTCTCCACATGAAATAGGTTATGTGAACTGATATCCAGATTTAGTGTTCTTGTGTCAAAGCGGGGTCGTAACTAGTAATGACAGAGGTGTTGGTACTACTCTTGCATGACTAGCACACGCACACAAAAAAAAGTCGATAAGAGCCCCTAGAAACGAACAAAGCATTTTTGACCCACTTTTTGTTATAGATCAGCATGTCACAGTCCTCCTGGATATTCATGATTTCTGTCCATGTTCCCTCCAGGGTATCAAACGGGGTATAATTGAGATGGCAGATCTAGTTGCTATAAATAAAGCTGATGGTGATTTAGTTGTGCCTGCACGGAGAATACAAGCTGAGTATGTTAGTGCTATGAAGCTGCTTCGCAAACGTTCAAAGGTTTGGAGACCAAAGGTTTGTGTACTTCTCTACGGTTTGGGGTGGGGGGGTGGTGTAGGGTGTGGTTTGGGTTTGTTTGTTTTTTCTTTTCCCCCAGAAAAAATACTGAATGAGTTAGGCTTGTTACCGTTTCATCTAGCTCTACTAGTCTCCCTGGACTCTTTTATAAAAATTTTGGTTCCGTTGTTTAGTTTCACACTGTGCTAGAGAGTTGGTTGCGGCTGTTTCATCTTGGATCTCAGGGTGTGCCACATGAAATGCTGTGCAAAGCCAGTCCTTGCTCCCCATGATTCCTGTCCTGAGCTACAGTCTCAGCACTGGCAGACCCCTTATGAATATCAGGAGCGGTACAAACCTGTCTTGCTTTTTGTAAACTACACGTATCTTAAAATGTCCCATAAGCTATTTCTCCCTCTTTTATAACTTTGAAGCCCATGAATATCTGTTCTTTCACTTGTTCATGTGTTTCCTTTATTGCCTTTTTTTTTTTTTTCTGACATAATAAAAGTTCTTGGGCAAGAAGCTCATCTACTTGTGTATGAAGTGTCTAGATTATTGGAATCATCCTGTGGGCCTTTAATTTCAATGCAGTATTCCATCTATTAAAAGATTATGATAAATTATTATGGAAAACATTCAGTACTAATTTTAATATGTGTATATAAAATAAGCAGCACACAGACTCTCACTCCCTTTATTTATATGCATGTATATATAAAGGAGGTTTGTTCTACCCTGGTATTAACATTGACCCATTGAATTAAGTTTAAATCAGCTGGGCTGCTTGAGGCTTAGCTGTCACTTTATAATTTTTGTTTCTAGATCTGAGGAGAGGTCACATCTGATAATCGTGACCCAGAAGAACTGTTTGAGACCAGTGAATTAAACAGGTTTTGAGAAATCTGTCTCTCAGTGGTGACAGTGCCTGACAACTGGAAGAAAATATTGCGGTGTATGGGCTGTATCCTATCCACTAGACTGGGGAGAGAGACTTTTCTTTACAAAAACTGAAACTGTTCAACTTAAAAGATAATGTTGGATGTCTGAAATATTTTTGGCCAAATGAATGAATTCCTAGTCTGAAAAGCAAATGGCAAAAATATTCCAAATACCTCCTTTCTGGAATATTTTAGGTACAAAAGAGTAGCTACCAGAGTATATCTACCAGAATATGTAATTAACGCTACATTTAAGTAAAATGGCAATGCTACCTTTTAGCTAAAGGACTCACTGGAAATGATTCTCACTCACCGTGCAAACAGTTGGACAAGGTGTATTTATCTAAATACCGTCGATCTCAGGGTGTGCTTGTGGTTGGTAGAATCTCAATTTTGAGATTTTTATTTTTTTTTTTTTTTTTAAAAAGCAGCACAAAACTGCTTAGAGCTTGAAGTGTATTGAAGTGTATTCAAGTAAGCTTGCCTTACACATTTCTTCATTTTCATGCAATCTACCCAATGCAGTAATTGAACCCTCAAACCCAGTAGTTATGTGGCTTTAAGAATTCTTCTGAATTCAACAGGTAATTCGCATCTCTGCCAAAACTGGAGAGGGTATCTCCGATATGTGGGATAAAATGACAGAATTTCGAGACCTCATGCTCACAAGTGGCGAGTTGATTGCCAAACGACGGAAACAGCAGAAAGTGTGGATGTGGAATCTCATCCAGGAAAATATGTTGGAACATTTCCGGAGTCACTTGGCAGTCAAGGATAAGATTCCACTTCTAGAAGAAAAAGTTCTTAGTGGTGTCTTGTCTCCTGGGCTGGCAGCCGACCTGCTACTGAAAGCTTTCAAAGATGGTCTCTAATCATTATGTTCTACTCTGTTCTTATTAAGTGATTTACATAAACATGAACATTAAATACAGTTTTTCTATGCTATATGTGGATTCAAATGTTTTACTACGTCAGACATTAATAGAATACCTATCCGGTACCCTGCAAAAAAATGCTATAGGATTCTATGTATGCAAAAATTACAACAACTCCAAACGCTCGGAGATCACTACAGACTATATTAGAAATGTACTTTTTTTCCCAGTCTTCTATTTGTGCATGCCATACATCTGGTGATCAAAAACATGTGCCTGTGTCAAATGTGTTTGGTTTGGGGTGGGTGGGAGAGAGAAATTTGTGGTGGTGCAGAGTTTTATTCCAGTTATGGGACCATCTTCGAGCAGTTATGCTGCAGTTTGCCTTTCTAACACAGCATCAGCTGTTGCTGGTCTGGATTGCTTTTTCTTCCCTCACCTTGAGTGACAGCAGGAACATTGGAACCCCTGACACCACCTGACCACAGCCTTAGTTTTAAATAAATTGTATGAATATAAATAGAATACAGTGGTGTTCAGTTCGTGGTTGGAAGCTACAGTTTGTTATTATACACTAGGAGAAGGGAATTTTAACCATCCCAGTTTCTAAATAGATGTTTTAATACAAAAGCAAAATTTAGTTGGACTTTTTTTTTAAATGCAGGCATCAGATGGAACAAGTGTCACCCATGATGGTTTAATAGCAAATGTCTTTATACTGGAATAATTGATCTCTAGTAATAATAGTTTGAAGTTTTATGATCTGACTTAAGCTTTTTAGGTTCAAACAAAATGCTTGGTTGGGTTTGGGGTTTTTTCCCTCTTTTGAAGAAGACATGCCCGCTTACAACCAAAAGTACTTTTTTTTTTTTTTTTAACATTTCTCTTAAGATCAAATCCAGAGAAAACATTTTCCAGGGCCGTGATCCAGAAAGCAGAGCTCATCTGGTACCTACTAAATATGGGTAAAGTGGAAAAATACAGATTTTTTGGAGACCTGACAGGAAACCAGTATAATATGAGATTTTGTGAGTCTATTGTTGCTTACATGAATAGACTTAAAATCACCTTGGAAGTGATATTTATAGTTTAATTTTCTGGACACATACATAAAAGGCATGGTGTTAATTTTTATTTTAGCTCAGTTTCACCTGTTTGGCTTCCTAAGAAGTAGGTGTTACACACAGTGTTTGCGTTCTGGCAACCTGAGTCTGAATTTTTGAGACAATTCCAGGGTAGCAATGAATTGGTTTACTTAGATCATCTTTCTTTTTTCCTTCATTTTTTCCCCTCAGAGTAATCTTCTCCCTCTTCCTCTCCTCTCCTTTTTCTTACTAGACCTCTGTGCTTCAGAATTTTGGTTCCTGCATAAGTATAATTTGGCAACTATCAGAAAAAGATGAATGATTGTTGGAAGAAAATGCTGAGGATTTTGTTTCCTTTGGTTTGTCAAAGTGTCACAAATTAAATGATACAGAAGAAATCCTCAATGCCTTTCAGTTTTTCTTCCCATTGTATGATGGTGCCTGTATAATTGTTCATATATTTTTACTTATGTTAATAGTTTATAACAGTATGAACTATGACCAGAAAGCAAAAAGCAAGCTACAAGGCCAAGTAAAAATACTTTGTAATGAAAAGCAATGAAATACTAACAGACAGCATCATGGTGGTTTGTGGGACATGCAGCCAGGGCATTTCTTTGTTAAGAAATTCTGTACCAGTGTAGCTGCTATTAGTGGTTTCCACCACATAAGTTGTCAGAATTTTAGTGTTCTGACCCTCTTATTCCTGTTTCTTCAACTTTGCATCCCAAATGAGTAATCTGGGATTGCTGCAATCAGTTGCGTAGATGTAGCTGAAGGAATGTAGGGGGTGGCAGAAGCACAGTGACTTTGTTATGACCATGGTGAATTCTTGTGAAAAAAAATGTAGCGCTTACGGTTTCTTTTCTATTTAAACAGTCTCTATTGAATATGACAAAAAGTGCCCCAAACCAAAAGCAATGTCTTCTATTCTTTCAGCTTTAAATATTAACTGTATTTTTATGGTGCCTAGTAGAAGAAATGACAGTCAGGTGGAAAATGAATTAATGAGAGCAGCAGCATTTTAACTGGTGAGTTCTCAACTTTTTGATAGTCCATTTTTTTCTGGTGACAGTTTTTGAGGTGACCTCATTTGTGCTTATCTGTTAGATCAAACCCTTATTATTGTCATTACTTTTTCTTTTGTCAGGGACTTCTGTTTTCCTTGTGTGTTATATGTGAGCTGTCAAGTAAATAAAATAGAACCTGCAGCTTTGTTTAAATGATGGCTTCTCAGGCAGAATACATTTTACTACTTCAGCGTTTGTTTTCTGGTCGAAGACCGTGGCTCAAGCCATGGGCCATTGTTATTTTCTTATTTTGTTGGTCTTTTAAAGTATCATTAGTTTACTAATGAACTCTTAGCAGAAGACAGTACAATGGTTTAAGCAAGTTCTACTTTTCATTCAACTGCATTTTTCTCTTAAAGTAAAACATTAAATGAAAATTAAGTTGTGCCTTTGTGTGTTCATTTGTGCCTCATGCTTCAGTAGGCAGAGAAATGCCCTTATGCTGAAAAGGGTCTTTAGAAATGGCATGATAGATAAGGGTACCTGCTTTGTTTTTCAGTGATTCCCTTACCAAATTGAAAAGCTGTACGGTGCAAATGATGAATTTAGCCTCACATGTGAGAATCAAATTGTTTTATAGCTTGTAAAATTTTGCTGTGGCATGTTTTGAAGTCACCTGCTGTTCAATTAATTGTGTACTTTTGTTTATGTCCTCACAGGCTGGGGAAATGCATTATCTTCCGAAGGGCTTCATAGCTTTGGCTGGCAGGCTACAATTTGGTAAACAATTCTGTATTTCCCAAGATAGGGAAGAGCATTTCCAGCTCATCATTTCTAGCTCTGTGGGATTAAGTTGGGTAAAATGCATGAAAACATTGTCGTTCAAGTAAACAGGCTTCTGAAAAAGTTAGTAAACAAATCTGTTGAGTAGGATGCTGACATATTCTTAGTTTCTAGAGTTGTTAAGTTGCTCTCATGTTAACAATTAAAATGACAGCTATTGCAGAACAGCATGATAAAATAATATAGCTATGAGAAAATAATAGCAAGATTAAGTTTGTAGCTGGAGCTGTGATAGGCTGTTAGACAAATTGATGTGGGAGGTAAGGAACAAACTCTTCAGATACACAAACCCATGTCCTACGAAGTCTTGCAGTTGTATGTAAGTGTGAAACTTTTCCCCAGGTCCCCGTGTAATAGATGTTGCTGGTGTTTCACAGCTGGAAAAACAAGTGTGGTGAGATCAAGTGATTTACCCAGGACTCGGGAACAGTCAGTACAGTGTAAGGGTTACAGTTCAGTAGTCTTTGCTCTGAGCCTCGCGTTATATTTATGGCCACGTTACTTAAGGTTGAAAAAATGCTGTTAGCAAGTTCATGCTCTCAGTGTGACTTCTTTCATATCTAATCTCTCTGTTTTTCAGTGACGGGACCCAGTGACCCCTTCTTGACTACTGTTCTAATGTTGTTGTAATGTCCTGCTTTAAGTAATAGAAAACTTTTCTGTGATAACTAATCTGCCCATGCCTTTTGTAGATGCATTACTTCCTGTTATGCATGTTTGCTCAGTCTTTATATTCTCCTTGCATATGTTGTTTATTTGTAAAATCTGTAGTCTGTTGGCTGTGTCTGTCTGTGGGTCTTGAGATTTTGGGGGATGGGGGTCGAGCAAAGCCGAAGAATATAAGTGATTTTTTTTTTTTTTTAACCTTATGCAGTTTCCTTCCTAAAGTATTCTTTCTTAAAGTAATGTGGCAAGATTAAATTACTGGCTTGCTCTGTACTGGTGTAAACATACTTATTTTCCTTTTCCTTACCCAGAATGCTCTATTGCTCCCCACCTTGGATACACGGTCAAGAAATAACATTATCGATGAGTTAAAATTTAGAGCTTAGTGTTTCCATAACTATTCCGCTGGATTATTCTAAAACGTGTGTCATCTGAAGAGTGAGTGAATAGAAGTTGATAAAACATGTATTTAAAGAAAAAAATCAGTGTGTTCCCCTGGAACTTATGATTTGGACAATCAACAGTGCACAGGTTGACTAGGATTCCTCTTCCAAAAAATTGTTCAGATACTTCATGGTCATATTCCTTACAGTTTATTTAAAAATAACCCACCCACCCTATGTTAGAACATTAACAAAAATTGTGGATTGAGAATAAAAATTTTAAAACTGAAAACTCACAAGCAAATACAGTATTTAGGATGGAAGTATGATAGACATATTCCGTTCCCTGCTGCCATACCAAGGTATGGGTCAGCTGGTAAACAGCCTGTGGAGAAAGGCATGTTATGGAGCAGCAAGAAGAATGTCTATTGTTACCTGGTTTTTCTCCCGTGGGAGTATAAGAATTACCTTAGACAATTCACTGGCAGGTTGCAGAAACTGTTGTGATCCACAGTGTTTGCTGTGTGAGGTTTACAGAAATGATAAATTCCCTTTTCTCTCTTTTGGGTTTGTATATTGTAGGGGACTAGTCTCATGCAGACACTTGTCCTTTGGATCTAGGTGGTTTTGTTTGTAATTGTGCTCTAAGTCCTTGTAATTTGAGTAAATGGATTGTTTATTTGCAACAAAGAATTCAAAAGCTTCACTTTTCAGAATGCATGATGAGATTTCTTTTTTCCTCAAAATACTATGGCAAAGTGAGTTCCTGCTGTATGTTGGTTACCACATCTTCATTTTCTCTTATGTTTAGATTTCTTTTACTGCTAGAGTAGCGTAAAAAAGGTTTAATTATACACCTTTTAAAATTACTCAAATACTCAGAAAGTTGATCAAGGATTAACAGTATTTTTACTTTGTTTCTTCTATTGAAAGTGACTATTATAACCCAAAGCTCAAAACCCCTTATAACCTAGGGACTGTTATAACTTCCGATGACCAAGCGGACCTGCGCTGTAGTAGACTGCAATGGCTGGGGTTGTGTAATGTAGGTGTAATGAGAAGATACTCTTCCTGACCG